CGGCGTAGTTCGCCGGTGCATGTTATTGTTTTGATCCTTAGTTTTTACTGTCTGATCCGAAATGTGAATTCGCTTTTGACCTCTATTTTAATCGTTGTTGATCCCTCACCCGTTACATTGTCAGTGCTGTTCATGAAGTTTTGTAGTGTAATCACGGGCTGACAGTCTCAGTGAGCTTCTGTGTGTCTTAGCAGCACAGGTGCTGATGCAGACAGCCTGCCCAAGATGAACAACGAAGGCTTGTACAGCCGAGTCTTGGCAATGCTCAGCGGCCTTACCTGTCCGGCAATCACATTTTTTGGGACATAGATGTACAGCAGAGCCTGTGGAATTTTTGGAGGGAATCAGTTTGATACATTTTGGAAAAGTCATCTAAAGGCATCCCATGCGGTGGGAAAGTCTGAAGATGATTTGCTGCAGTTCTTCAGCACAGTCTTGGAGTCATGTTTGGATTTCCTGCAGGCGCTTCTATGGGTCTGCACGTCGTTCAACCGGAAGTGTCGTCGAATGTGTGGACCGTTCTTCGACTCTTTCGAAACATGTTCTGATGATGGAAGATCCCTTTTGCAGTTCCGCTGCCCGAGTGAAAACACATTTGAAAGGATATTGAATCCTTGACACTTGCCGAAATCTATGGCTTTTAGCTACAAGCTGTAGCTGCAGGAACTATATAGATGCCCTAGTGAGATGTTTTGTGGATTCCTATGGAAACCTAAAACCTTTCCGTGGAACCCTTGAACAATCACCACGAGATGTCCCACAAAAAAGCTCTGCTCACCATTTACAGCAAAACTTATTGTTTCTTGGTAGGAAACAACGGAACGTATTGCATAGGGATTATACAGGTATTATGTTCCTATATTCCCTACGTACTAAGAACCAGTAAGCACAAACTCTGGCAAGACAAGGCCCCAACAAACTGTAGATCTCTGCCATGGACATCCTTGGATTTCTCAAGCTTGGGACATGTGTCGACCTGCGTATGGAACTGGAAACGTGTGGAATTCTCAGGCAGTTTGCATGTCCTCGAGTGGAGGACACATACGAAATTGTGCAGATATCATGGTCTACTAGGCTGCGGGCATTCATGGGGGACCCAGGAAACTTCAAGCCCAACGTTCAGCATGGGGACAGAACCACCTTTAGAATAAATCCACCTATGAAAGGATCACGAGGTGGACCAGTGCACCTAAGCATAGTCACCTACATCGCTTAGAGATGCTCGAAGCAGTACTTCATCGGCTTTCGGACGTCTTATGCAGTTATAGAAGTGGCTCAATCTATCAAGGTCTGCAAGGGCGTCACCCTGCTATCCTGAGGTGTGTGGAAGAAGGGAGAGCGTTCTGAGACGCGTGAAGTTGCAACTGCAGCAGGTGATCTCGACCTGGGCGATTAGCTCGCAGTGAGAAAAGAACTTGAACTCTCAGCGTCTCGCAGCATTGGTTTGTGACAGCTGCTGAGATCATGTAGGCTTTGTCAGACTGTTCAAGTTCAGCAGCCCTCAAGCCCTCGCACAGCAAAATTAGCATCGCATCTGGGGTTAGGATGCGTGTTTGGAGATTGCAGGCACCAGCCTGGAGTGGTTCATAGTGCCTGAGAACTCTGCATTGTTAGAGAACAGGGCATATCGTGTCTGCAGTGGTAGCAGTACATCAGGAGGCTATCGGCGGACAGTCCATTTTCAGATTTCGAGGGCGCTGGCTGCACAAATTTGTTCGAATTGGTTGTCTAGTGCCTCGCTATTGCTGCTAGGTCGTGGGGCTAGAATTCAATCAGCCAGAAGGGACGGGATGAAATCAGGCCCTTGAAGCCAACGGTTTCGGAGAACCAGGAAAGCAAACAACTTCATCCAACTTTCGGCAACAAGAGCTTTCGCACCGTTGAAGACTTACAAGCAGCACAATGCTGATATCCAGGTGGCATATTCGCGACATTCCGCTACGGCTGGACAAGCTTCACAGTCTGTGGCTGCCTTCCGAATCTGACACTTACCAGTCTTTGAATCACATAAAGCCCAAGCCTCCATGCCATCCATTGCAGCCAGCATTCCGGGCACAAGAGCTGAATCCCTTGACATGTCTACATGCTCCGCCATCTCTACTCAGCTTCCGCAGAAACAGATCAAGAGGCTTTGCAGAGAGGATTCAGATGCAGGCCTGTAGCCTGTAACCCATCAGCCTACGCAAGTCGCAAGTTGCAACAACTCTCCCAGTCCTTGCTGAACTGCCAGCTTAGCCTATCCGCAATGCAGTCTTACAAACCCCGTTAGGCTCCAGTTACAAGACCCCAGCATTAAGCTCCACACAGAGACGTGTGGTGTCAGCAGCTTCACGCTCACGCTAGCGATCTTTTCCTGGTGCTTCCAGGCCCCTTGGGCATGGATACTAGATCGGGGTGAGCGAGGGCTGTTTTGGCCTGGTTTGTCGGGTTCTGAGGTTAAGACGTCTTGCCTGTGAAGGTTTCCGAGCTTAGGAAGAATCAGTGAAAATTTGCTGGTCAAGGTTGGGGCTGCATCTCTAAGATTGCCGCGGCAGTTGTTTAGGCGGTTAGACAACAGTCTAGCAATGCACGACTCCTTGGGGAGGGCTCCCCCTCTACCCAAAGGTCTCTCACCGCAATGAGCTCCTATTGGGAGTTTCTAATTTTCGTCTGCCTGCTCTGAAGTCACCGCGCAGTGTGTGAGCCCTTCCTTCCCTGCCTGGGCAACTCATGAAGTATGTAGCTGCAGGGGTGGCGACCTTGGCCAGGAGAGTGGTAAGCGACAACCACACTAAGCTCCAAGCAGCTTTCATGACTGCTCTCAACTCTTTTTCGTCCTTCACGCGCTGCAGGGTCTGAACTGCAAGAAATGGAGGAGAAACAGTTTTGATGGAAGTACAGCATCTCCTGGTCGACCGGCATCACTGCAACAGATCCAGACACCCACGAACTACCCGCAGATGATCCCTAGGTACGTCCTGACCTGGCGCCGAAGTCTCACGCAGATGCTGTCCCTCAGGCCTTGTATGTTGCTTGCAGTACATGACTCAGGGACTTGAGTGATGTTTTCTTGGGTCTAGCTTGGCCTTGTTTGCATCCACAGTGCGCGCTAGCCTTTGCAGAACGCTGCGGACTTGACTTAGCAGTTAGCAGCTTGCAATTGTAAACGTCTGTGCGCAATCCACCACGTGTGAAAATAGCCTGGCTTGGACCCTCAGACTTTGAACCACTGCCATCATTTCATGGTGGCGCCCTCCCTGGAAGCGCCTGTTGAGATATGGCTGGATGCTGCGCGTCCTACTGGACATGTCTCCTGCAGAGGTCAAGGACTCTTGTGTAGTGTAGTGCGTTGATTTATTGCCATATATATAAGTCATGGAGCAAAACTCCAATTGTGGCTAACCGTTCCCAGTTCGGACAATGCTGCTGATTCCCGCCCAGTTTGTGCTTTGAAGCGGTGCATGCAGAGCTTCTGCCGGCATCCGAGTTTCAGGCAGGAGGCCCAGGCCGAAATGAGAGCGAAGTGGTTTGACGGTTTCACCCTTCTGCACGTCGCATGTGCATCTGGTCATGCGGATTTGGGCCGTTTGTTGGCCGCTTCTGGAGGCAAGCCGACATGACGAGGCCGCTTGTACCCAAACAACAAGGCTAACAACATAGATGTGCTGCGCTTCCTTCCTGATGCAAGATCCAACTCAAATATGGTTGACATCACAGGGGCAACTGCTGGTCTGGTCAGAGGGTGGTTACTTCGAGAGCGCAAGCCTATTGCTTGTGGCTCGCGCAGAAGCAGGCGCGACACCTCTCCACCGTACATATTTGACGCGCGAAGCCACCTTGGCACACCTGCTGTTGGATGCCAGAGATGACTTGCAGAGCACAACATGCGGATATGCCCTTTCGGGGTAGCGATTTGCGAGTACGCCAACCTGACTCTGGGTTAAGCGCAGCTAGCGCCAGTGCACCTCAGTGACCTTAGAAATCCTCAGTGCGCGAGCGTAACCTCACAAGTGGCAGCCAAGAAAGCTGCAACGAACCAAAACCCGAAGAACCCATTGCCGTCCTCACAGACAGCTGCAGAGCCCTATACCCCGCACACTGACCCAAGAAACAGACTAGCCGCCACAGCCCTTACTCCATAGCAAGGCCATGTCGATATGGTCCGCCTCTTGCTGCTGTGGCTGTTGAAAGGTTACTCAATTACGGGTGTGAGCGCCAATCCATCCGCACTAGGAACATGGGTGTTCCTGGGCTCAGCATACGCGGAGGCTGGAGGCTGGTGCTGCGGCGTAGCTGACGGTGTAACTAGGCGATGAGGATGTGCAGAGTTTGCTCCATAGGAGCGAGGGCGAATATGCGCATTGTGTTTCAACCTAATTCCTGTACGTCTCCTTTCGTGATGTTTCATTCTCTCTTCGTGCAAAAGTTAGACGAGCTCGATTGCAGACTGGGGCGCACGACTCGCGGCTGCTGTCTTGTACGCCGTGGTCCGTGCAGTCTTCAGCGTTCCAAGGTTATCCAGGCCACAGGAGCATTGCCGTACTACATTACAGTGCAAGCTACATCGTCCTGCAGCTTGATGGCGCTTGTCCCGACGCTTCGACCTTTGCGCATAGGTCCATGTCTGACAAGCTGCTAGATTCTTGGGCAGACAAAGAACCTTCAGTCTGGTAGCCACATCCTGCAACAGCTTTTGTCCTCTCTGCAAGTTAATACAGGGCCCAAAGTGCGGACCTTTGCATTGAAAGCGTGTGGCATCGCGTGACAATGTGGTACACTTCAAACTTAGCCTCGCTCGAAACAAAGAGCCATTTGTGTGCTTGTCTTGCATTAAGCCTTTGTGGACTCACTCTACAAACTTTGCAACTCCCAACATACGGCCAGTGACGGCAAACGAGCTCCGGTGTGGGCCGCGCTCGCAGTGCTGGCAGCAGCCGAGAGCCCAGTCCTTGTACGGATTGTCGATGGTAGCAGACGTTGTGGATGAAGGCCTTCTGGGTATGCTGTGTTAGGTACCTCACGTTAAGGGACTGCACGGCCCATGTAGGACATGCAGCACCTCGGCATAGTTGTTGGAGGCGAAGGAGAGTCAAAGTACGACAGAAGCCAGCTTGGCTTACGACTCTAACTCGCTGTCTTCAAGAGTGCCTGCCAATTAGCTTATGCGTCTTGTTGTCCATGACTCATGACTCCAGATTTGAGGGCGGTTTGGCAGGAGGGACTTGGCGACAGGAATGTTTCTTCATGGGCCTAGATAGCTTGCAGGGATCCTTGCGCAAATCCCTGAACTTTGCAGCTTTGAGCCTGGAAGTGTGCTTGTCTTCCGGCATGTTAGCCGCTGTATCGTTGCTTGGTTTCCGGGGAATGACAAGAATTGCAGTTTGCTCAGTGGCTTAGTGTTTCGCGTGTTCGAACATGGCCATTTTCCTCGAAGTCTGTTACCGTTCCTGTCTGCATTTGCTTGAGGCCTTGGCTACTTTGGCCCTGCGGGGGAGGCACTGAGCTGTGGAGTTTTGCGATGTCACGGGTGGCGTCCAGTTCAGGTTTGACATGAGATGGGGAGTTGTAGACATCAAGATATGCGCGCAGCCTGAACTTGAACACATGAAGACAACATATATGGACAGCATAGATGTAAGCAAGGCGAAAATTATGGATCTTTGCAGCAGGCAGACTACCGGAGCAGCGGCAAGCGCACTGTGCAGCGAGGCGCAGATTGCTTGATGTAGTGATCGGGAGAGGAGGGTTTTGTCGAGCTTGATGTAGAGTTTGCTGGCGGCCAGCACTTGGATTGGAAACGCTTCTGCAGCGTCAAGCTGCACACGGGGCAGGGGTTTGCGCCAGCATCATGTTCCGACAGGACCACGACATTCCTCAATACAGTGCATCTCCTGGATAAGTGGGTCCGCTAGGTGTAGGGTACGCTTCCTTTCTTAGCTAGGCAGTGATTTCGCATTTCCTTTTTTTCAGGTATCCAGCTGTAGTGTACCCTTCATTTCTTATTCCAAGGGTTCGAGCCCCTTGATGTGAGAAGTCTGATGTTGAGAGAGTCGCCTTATCCAGTAGGCCATGCAGCCTCCTACCCCTCGTACGCCATGTAACCACCACGAAACGAGCAAGCACGGCTTACATCCACATGAAAGTTGCATGAGTTGGCTGACAGCGCAGGCCCATTACCCCTTATTAGGGTCCTGGTGGGAAATGCAAGTGGGATCTAATAGCCCATCCTGGGATAAGGGTGGCAGCCCAACAAAACAAGAATGGCAGCCCTGCATTTCTTATTTTGGTGTTTTTAAGGTCCAAAATAAGAAACGTAGCCCCCTGTGTTTCTTATTTTGGGGTGTTTAAGGCTAGGGGGTAAAGGTAGGTGAACGCCCCAAGAATAAGAAACCTAGCCCCCTACATGTGTTAATTTCTTAACCAGTCATTTCTTTACACCGTACTTGAAGCTGGTTTCGAAGTGTTGAAGCCGCGGAAATTTCGAGAAAAAAAAAAAAGCCCCCTGGACTCCCCAAGTGGCCGCTCGATGATCTGAAGCACAATCCAATAGATAGTCAAAACGACCAGCAGGATTTACAACTGCTCCTGGCAGTCCTCAAAGAATTGGCACGGAGGCTGCGCATCATTTTGGTGAGGCTACTTGTAAGGTTCTGAGCAGCATTTCCATGTCGTTTTACGGCCAAGGCGTAACCGAACTGGGCTCACTGCATACAATGAGAGAACGTGACAGAATCTTATTCTACTGGTAGATTCTGAATCAGCTCTCCTCTTCTCATTTCATGAATAGCCACGGACTTGAGTCCTTACCACCACTTTGAAACTACTGGTTCTGGAAGTGTTTTGCTCTCCTTCTAGAGGCAAGTATCACGTTGGGCAGTTGCGGAATCAACGTTTGAACCTCTGACGCCTACCACACTTTATCTAGTAAGTGCATCAAATTCCACGATAAGCTCTCAGCTCAGTAGGTCACTAGTCATGAAAAATCTTGAATCTAATGACTCTAGAGAAGTTTCAGCTATCATTCTAGCAGAGCAGGTTTTCCAAAAATGGGAACAGAGGTCCTTGCGGAAAGGTCGTAAGGGCTAGCTGATGAAGCAGGGTTTAAACCATTGTAGAAAGTTGAGTGAGCAAATGAGGTTTCAGAATCACCCCCTTATTCTCCTTTCAAGAGCAGCCAGGTAACGCGCAAACCTTGGAAACTAAGTAAGGCCCGAATTATTTTAGTTATGAAGTTTATCTCCTTTGCTCAAATTTGTTTCTGGCTGCAAAAATCCCGGCCTTTACAGTAGACCTGACCTCCAAATCTGGCCGATAAATGATCCTGTGAACCTAGGGGGAATCTATGGGGGATCTATGAATCACTGGCTGCTACAACGGATGAGTGACAGATGCTTTAACCATTGCAGCCCTTCGGGAGAAGTAGCGCATAGTGGCTTGCCAAAGAGGGCCTTCTTCTTCAACAGTCCTTGCAATTGCTCTTTTAGAAGGTTTGGTGAAGATCCGGGGCACTTGTGACTCCATAGGTTTCAACATGTCCTAGCACTGAAAAGCTGACCCCGGGTTTGCAGTGCGCAGCTACATGTGCAGACGTGCAGGATGGGTTACAGCATCTTTAGATGAGAGCCTTTCTGAGTACCGCTACCTAGAATAGGTTCTAGATGTTCTACGAGTGTACCAGCACAGCAATTTCACATTGAAGCCTCCTCGCCACAAGCTCCAGGTTTTTCTTGGTCTGCCAAGATGTTGCTGCCATCTCGAAGAGCGTTCGCGCTAAGATGGCGGCGCCATCCTCAGTCTAGTTCGCTGTGAAATTTTCGAACATTTTTAATCAAGCACGCGCGCCCTCCTTCCAAACTCAGAATGGTTACCTGCAAATCCTGAGCTTCAAGTTGCTAATCCATCATCTCCACCCTGCTGAAACTTTCGGAGTGTAGATGAGACTTCATCGGACTGAGCGGCGCTAAACACCCGGAGACCAGTGTTACATCTACTTCAACACGTTGTCGCTATTTATTCCCATCGAAGCACGTAAGTGTCTAGACTATCTTTTGTTTATGCTCTTGTCGGTTTCCCATGGTTGGCATGTGGTCGATCAATTATGCCAGTTCTGTAATAAATCCTATAGCGACCTGGGTTTCATCCAAGATTTGAGCATTTGAATTTCACAGCTACCATTCCACTCTGCATGTGTGCTGTACTCACACTGCCAAGCAAAAGCACCTTTCCATATTTTCCTTTCATGGCGTCAGATAGGTCGCCCCAGTTGGAAGTCAGTATGCAGTTGCAGCAATCAGAATTCACGGTTGCGTCATCTGTGGAGGCAGGATTTGAGGGGGGGGGTGGCCCCTGTGACCTGAACGGCCCGGCCAGATCAAGATCCATTTTTCAGAAGCCTGCTGGCCTTTGGCCGGAGGCCGAGGTGAGCTCAAAGACCCCTGAGACCCCTGGAGCCTGAAGAGCCAAACCCAGAGCTTGGAAAATATCAGCCCTTTGAAGCAACGTCGGCAACAAGGCTGGTCAGGTTCAGATTGCCGAGGACACGCTGCAGGAGCAGTTGACCAAGCAGTGCGAGGCAAGATGCTGAACTGGTATGCTTTTGGCACGCCCTGTCATAAGCTTTTGGTCAACATCATCCTGAAGTGATATTCTGAAGGCAGCCTCGCCCAGTTTTGGGATGCGGGGATTGAGCGGCCTCAGGGCAGGCTGTGGAATGCTTTGGCACTTCTCAGGGACGCTGGTTCTATAAAGCTTGATCTGCGGTCCTGGCAGGCTCAGTAGCTGAGGCAAACAAAGGCGCGTCAAACAGCCAGGTCAGAAGGTCACAGTGTATTGGAGCCCCTGTTATTGAGGTGATGCAAGCTGCCAGATTTCTTCCTCCCTTGCAACAGTGATTTCAGGGCCGCATCGAGCAGGCGGTGTAACGAGAAATCAATGGTCTTGAACTTGGTGCTGAGCCCTACATTGCAAAGCCTGAAGTCTTCAAGCCTCAAGCTTGAAGCCCTAAAGCTTTCAAACCAATGGGCATCAATCAACCTCCTTGACCCCCAGCGAAACTATTCCTGACCAGGCACTTCAACATGAATAACCCCTACACGACTAAAGGCTGCTGAATCCAAGCTTGGTTCCCTAATTTGGGAAGCAGCACAGGAACTGCAAACCAACACTCTCTGCATGCTCTTAGATGGCGCAATATGTGGCAGCACACCTTAGCCACTAACGCTAATGTCTCGCACAAGTTATCCTGCTTAGCAGAGGTCTTCGAAAAGTTGCAGCAGTTGCAGGCTGAGGTTGGGCTTTGTAGGGATTTTGTGAGGCTTGTTTGGTGTTGAGGCATTTGGGTGGGAGCCTGCAGGTTTAGAGTTGGCGTTGTTTCGATGGAGAGTTTGAGATAGAAGTACATAGTTGCCATTTCCTGGGTCATTCCTCAGTGTCGGCTTCTTGTCACAGGAAGGCATCATGAAAGCCGCAGGCAGGACTTGATTCGAAATTCACACATCGGAGCTCCCATGCACATTTTTGAGACCTGAGCTCACAGGGGGCTCGCTTCCACAAGGCCCCCTCTCCAATCCCCAAGCAACATGCAGATTTCCTTGCCACGGCAACTGCAGTTCCAAACGCAGAGCCATTGGATAGTTACCTTACAAGAATCTAGCAGCAGGGTCCACTTTGCAACATCCCACACTCTCTGAATCTCGCATGGTCCCATACGTATATGGTGTGCTATCTGCTAGAACTTCAGCAAGGGGACCTCCCCAACACATTTGGAGCGTTGTAAATCGTAAAGTCGATTCGATAGGAGCAGAGCTCAGCAGCTGCTTTGATGACCACTAGTCGTATTGATTTTTAATCGAGGGGTGGGGGGTAGTGAGCCTTGACGAGTAAAGGATTTTGGATTTCTTCGGGGCCCGAAAAGTTACGCATAAAATGAGGACCCCCAAAACATTCATTAATTATTGATGACCTTGGCCTTGATTCTAACTACAGCAGCTTGGACTAGTACCTCAATGCATGAGGCTATCAACCTACCCAGAAAGCAAGTTAGAACTCAGCTTACCTAATGTTTGCCAACAAGTTCTTTATGCAACTTCGCACAAATCAGCACCCCTTAGCGAACCGGAGGGTGCTCCATGATTTCTCCAAAACTTCAATGATTCAGAACCCCCACGCTAATTGGGATGGAACGTTGTTACATACATCACCAGAAAGCCCTACAGATCCCCGCGAGATCCTTGACAACCACCTCGTGCTTTTGAGACATTGGCGCTTTTTGAAGTTTGCAGCCCGTTGCACCGAAACCTGGCTCACAAATCCACAGGTCGCCAAGCAGTATGGCCTCTCCGAGGATCGGCTTGAGCAGCTGCAGAGAGCTGCAGAACAGGCCTCTTGGGGCTACATTGGATCATTCCCCCTTACAAGCTGTACTGAAAGGGGCTGTATTGAGGGGCTAGTAAACTCCTAGTTTCTGTTGGTGGGGATGACCTGATACAGAAGACTTGAGGGATCGTAGGTTGTTTGTGGGGAGTACGGGCTCAGATTGGATTCAAACGTCATTCACAGGTGATTCTCTTTGATGTCATTGCTGATTTTTTAAGCGTTGAGTGCTCTGCTTGAGTCATTGAGAAGCACACTTCAATGAGCGGAGAGAGAAGGAACTGGAAGCCTCGTTATTCGGGCTGCGGTAATACAGCATAGCTACAAACAGTGGAAAGGAACACGCAAACTACTACGCAATGCAATGGTCTCAGTCTGTTTTCCACAAGCTTGCAGGGGCGCTTCAAATGACACTTTTACAGGAATTTGTTGGAGTGTGATGGACGGAGGAAATGCTTCGAGGTTGTCTGTTGCGCTAGGCTGGTTGCGGAACTTGCATCAGCAATCGGGCATCCACAGGATTGACCTGACTCCTGTGTCAAAACGAGCAACTGAACCAGACAGGGAATGATATGCGTGCAGCGTGATACTGATTCACTCAGTGCTTCAACTTTCACTCCATGGTACCCAAGGCACTGTTCCTATTGAGTCACCACATATTGACAGCGATAATTTTGTCAGCTTCTTCAGCGCTTGGCCCTTGAGTCAGCTTCTGCCGCAGGATCCAGAAGTTCAATCCTACGCAACAGGCCGCGCCTCCAGCTTAGGAAAGCTTTTGTGGTGAAAGTCCGCAGCTTGACAGCGAGAAGGCATTATGCCTCAAAATTGGAGCTCCAACCAGGAAGTAGCCCTTTACAAAATGGGTGCGCCGTAGGAGGCTAGATGCTTTTGGCATAGGCATGTAGCAGGATGGCGCTATAGCAGTACGCCGTTTGAGAAGTTGACTTGTGTCGAACTTTGAAAAGGCGTGGTAGCCAGCAGGGAAGGTCATCGCGCTAGCACTATGACATCAGACATGTTCAACATGGTCCTGAACAGAAGCAAGCTTTTGATTCCAAACCATGGGCTCAACTTCCGCTAAAGTGCTGCTGGCACGTGCAAGCTCACCCACTCTGAGAATTCAGAGGGGTCCACATGTTCCAATTGCTTCGAGCAGCATGCTTGGTGCCTCCGGACTTGAAGCCACAAAGCTTCCCCTGCTGACTTCTCCAGCATCTGTCATGGTCAGCCTCTAAAAGGGATTGGAATGTAGTCCAGAACCTGAGCTTAGAAGCCTCAACTCTCTGAGCCCCGATTGCATAATCGAGAGGCTTCAAGGCCATGTTGGAGGATGCTTTGCAGGGGCAGAGCCCGATCCTGCCCAATGCGCCCCGGCCGTTTTGGCTTGGTCTCAACTGTCACGTTCATGACCGACTGTCTCATGCCAGGATGGATTTTGGGGCTTATTTGTCTTAAACCGCTGTTGAGGTTAGGGTAGCCCTGGCTGAAATGTACTTTTTGGGGTTTTACTAGTGGAGTTAGGTCCGCAACGTGAAGTTTTAGGGATTGCATGCAAACGCAATTTGTTTGTGATCGGGCAGGCAAGGCTGCTTACTGCTGATGATGGACTGTGTGTGTTTGGTGTTGCTCCAGGTGGCAGACTACACGAGGTCAATTGCATCACTTGTGTTGTAAGGCTAGAAACAAGTCCTACCGTGCCGGAAGGCATCATATGAGCGTCACACGCCGTTCGGCTCGCAGGTGTTTACCGGCCCTGCGCCTTGGAATCGATTTTCTGATCTTGCATGCCAGGTCAAAATACCAGAGGCGCTGACAAAGAAGAAAGCGCTCGAGACTTAGATCTGCAGTCAATTGCTTGGCTGTGCCAAGATGTTCCTGCATTTACTTCAGTCTGAAAACCAGGTTTCGCTGAGCTTGTTCAGGACGAGCTCACTGTGAAGCTGAGCTAGGTTTGTCTTGCATGCGCTGAAGTCTGCTGATGCCCTTGAACCTACAGTCTTGACCCGATGCCTGAGACCCTGAATGTAAGCCTAAGGCTACAGATTCACGAGGAAGCCCAAGACGCTGAGCAAGAGGAGGCAGGCGCAGAGGTTGAGACTCAACTGTTGAGGGTTTGCCGTTTGAGGCTTTCTAGGGATGAGGAAGATTCTGCTCAGCTAGAAAGAGATGCTGGTATGAGAGCTTGGCCGGTTGAGACAGGTGCTTTGTACCAGATTTCAACAAGTCAAACACCGTTTGCCCACTTAGGGCACGAAGCCTAACCAGGCCTGAAACGTACACTTTTCACGGCTCTGCCAGGCACTTCGCCTGGTCCAAGGCTCCACAGTCTCCCTGCGGAAGCTCGGCGAGGCCGATTTTCTGATACATAGAGAGCCCTCAGTGGGACGACCTGACCTGACCCTCGTCAAAGGATGCCTCTACAGGTGTAAAGGCTGCGTGCGGTACTAATATTGAGAAGCTCCACTTCTGGCTAGGCTAATGGAGTGAGACTTTCAGGGTGCAGGGATCACTTAAATTCGGAGGCGGGAAGCCAGGAGCTGGAGCTTTGGACTTGTAGCCACGAAAGGGAAAGTGAGCTTGTGCAGATAAAAACAAGAGCTCTGAGAAGAACTCCTCTGTTCTGGCAAATGCTCTACAGCCTTTCTAGTGCAAGCTGTCCTACCTTCAAACTTCCGTGACTGCACGAGTTGGCAAATCCTTAAGGCTTTTTACCCCTGCAATAACGCTACAGCAGCTGGCCAGTTTTTGGCCGTGGCGCACAAGAACGCATGGGAGCGCATCTTCAAGGCTCAGCTGCATTTTCTGCAGTGGAATCTCGTGGCCGCATCTCTCCAGTTTTTTTGCAACGTCTTATAAGGTGGAAGAACTCTTGAGAAATCCTCACCAGCACTTCTGGCTCCTCAAAACCAAAGCAGGCGCACGCAAGCATCCTCGGGGAACATGGTGCAGAGGTGCGCCGAGTGTCATCTCGGCCTTGTAGGTTTCTTTTGATGAGCTGCTAACAAGCAGTGTGGGGCTTGGAGACTAAGATGCTTGTGCTAGACTCTGAACAGGGTATTGTCTCAGGACTCCTGGGATGTCCTGGACCTGCCTATTACTCATACTTTCACAGGCTGCGGTTCTGAGGTGTTTGCACAGTAGTTCTGGTCTGAGGCTTTCAGGCGCCTAGTCGCAAGCTTCAGGTGATGGATGCAGAGTTCATGCCATGAGGTCACCAATCATCACTAATTGAAAGTGCCATCTTGGCACTGCAAGTTTTCCTGCAGGTTTTGATAATCACAGCACTCCATAAGAAGCATGACGAAGAAGCAGCAGCAGTTCTTACACAGTACGGCCCGTTTTCGCCCGGCTTGTCGAAGACCTAAGCACAACACCATGGCATGGCACCGCACGCTGAGTGGATCTGAGTCTTAGGCAGTGAGGAAAAGGGGGTTAGCACAAACTTTGAACTCTACGCTCGAACTGAGGTGTACTACAGTGTAGCTGCGATCTACACCAGAGAGCAGGATTTCGCTGACGACAAGACCAGGCGCAGCAGTATAGAAGTCCCAGCTGTTTGTTAGGAAGCCTTCAATCCGCTGTTGTCGGTAAAGATGTAAAGGTTTTTTGCTTTCAGAGTCGTGCTTCTTCTCGAGGGAGTTGCAAAGAGAGCCTCTGAGCACTGCAGCTTGTATATAAAAGTGAAGGGAGCCCTTTCGTGGGGTGGATGCTACCTTTGATTGTGGATGGAGGACATCTTGTGCCACGTAACGTACCCTATGTCTCAAGCATCCAAGCATTTGGGGATGCTACGTGGTGCAAGATATCCTCCGTGCACCGAAGCACTGCAAGTAGTCTTCGGACACCACAAGAAGTCTTCGGACACCATTGCTGCCAAAGACCCGCAGTTCTCTTTGTGCAAGTTCTTCACTTTCAGCACTTGCTTGGAACCCCGGGCCCTAGCACCAAAATCGCAGATAGATAGATGTCATCGTGTTGTTGATGAGCCTTCCAAATTCCATCCTGGCCATCTTGACCTAAAGCCTCCACTCGATTGGTCTCCTGAACCACACAGGCTGGAGGAAGCCCATCAGCAGCGGATGATCAAGCCACTGGAATGCTTCAAGATGGAGGGTTTGAGGCTTGATTTGGGGCTTTGAGGCTACGGAGCTAGAGTTGCCGTGGGTAAGGGCCTGCTACTGTGGACATGATGGAGATCCCGACTCAACCAGCCATGCGTGAACCCTGTCTTGATCTTTAGTCTTTCTTTGTGGCCATGACCTTGTGCCCTCTCACGCAGGCTGTATAAATGCAGGGGGATCGGGGAGCGTGAGGCTCATGCTTGCGCAGGCCAGGTGAGAACACGGAAGCTCAGCAGAAGCCTCTTTTTGCGGAAAACGGTCCCATACTACCTCAGACACATACTGTACCACATGCCCCAAACATACCCTGCGTGCATTCACCTTTTGACCGGCGCACTGCAGCGGGGGCTTTGCGTCCGCATGCCGGCAGTTAGAGAGAGAGAGAGATATAACCCAAACATGAAACAAGGGAAAGGACTTCGTGCATGTTTCCTTCGAATGCACGAGCAAATCTGAGCAGAAAGAAGCTGCAGATTCTGTCTCGAACCCAGGCTCTTCCAGCCAGATGGCAACGGCAATGTGACGGTGAATCGCTGAGCGTGGATAGTTTTGAGACCTCAATCCCCAACTCTCAAGCCCTTCTTTGTTGTTGAGTTGGAGACTCGTGCGCACAGGGCATTTCTAGCCTGGGTTTCTCATGGGACTTGGAATTAATGCTGAGAAGCACTCGTACAGACTGATTGCATGACTGGCGTACGGTGGCTGAACGTTGGGGGCAACACCGGCGCTCACTGCATTTTCAACCTGGACCTTGGTGGGAGGGCTTGGTGGTCGGGACCACAAGCTTACAGTGATGCTCAATCATTGTTCTTGTACAACGCAGAATTTTAAACAGCTGGGCAGTAACTTGTTTGAAGCGCGCGTCCATTCTCAGGAACACACTGGGCAAACATTCTTGAATTTTGCAACTCAAGGGAAGTCAACAAGATCAACAAGCACTGCCCATTTCGATGGGAGTGGACATCCTGCCCTCGTGTAACTGAAATCTTTTAGTTTGCATATTGTTCGCCAGTTGTGGAGCTAAAGCAACTTCCTTCCCGTAGCTCCTTTATCCTTCTCACGGTTTTTAGTAGACTTACAGCCCCCTGACCAGTATAAACTTCACAGTTTGGGAGGGATGTTTGGTGCGAGGCCTTGGACCCGATCAGGCTTATGACTGGGTTTGGGATGCAGAGCCTCTCAGTTTCAACCAAGACTTGGAATGGGAAGGTATGCCTAGACATAAACTAGACCTGGCGTCATGATCACAATGCAAAGGCTCGACCTTGATTCACGGGCAGGAATACTCCACATCGTTCTTGCATGTGCTTTTCCAGCCTTGCTTACCAAGCGACGATGATCCTTCTGAATCTGGCAGGTTGGTCGGGACGGTTGATGGAGTCCTCATGACTTCATGTACATTAAGTACACGTTTGGTGTTGAATGCAGCCCAAGGCGCACGGCCTTCTGGTGCAATACTGTAGCTGGTGCGTCCGCCAGATCACATCAACGACCCAGACTGAGTTGACAATCCAGTGCCGTCTTCTTTTTAACAACATACTTGAGAGGATCATCATCGCGTCAACTTGTTAGAACGGGCTTACAATCCGCAAGTTGTGATGGCTATCTTGCGTCGACACGAGCCGGCAACAGTTAAAAAGAATCGTCTGGCTATGCCATGTCTTGCTCAGTTACTAGCCAACAACCCGCCCCGCACGCGGTGCCGGGTGCCCTTGGAAATCGATTTCCAGGATGCTTGCAGTTCCATGCTGCTTGATTCATCTCATGGATTTGTATACCAATACTGACCTCGCTACTCCTGTCCAATCAGCGGCAGTGGGAGTCATTGGCATGAGCGTAATATGATAATATCGAGAGGCCCAGGTATTTCTGTGCGCCTGCGGATGGCTGCAGCTGCTTGAAGAAAGCACGATGAGGCTCTGGTGACTTTGCGGAACAGGCGTTTGAAACGAAACGCACTTACTCAGCTTTGACAGCTGGGAGTTGATGCAGGTCCGAGCCAACGCTGCCGCCCGGCCAGCGAATTGGCACCTTCAGACGACGAGTTATCGGATTGATCTGGTGTGCACTTCGGAGGGTGGCGGATCTCCTGACGGCTCTATGCAAGGCAGCGAGCGAGGCCAGCGCAGTGTTTTGCTTGTATGTGGCTGTAGCGAAGCCACATCCATCAGAAGCGCCATGCACCTATGTTAGACACTTTGAAGCGTCGACGGTAATTGCAGTGCAAGCGCTGTGGTGCAAATTGCCGACAACCGGAAAGCACAGCTCAGGCTTCGCCTTGAGCATAAGCTCGCTGCGGTGCTCACTTCGAGCCCCCCAACCTCAGCCCCAAAGACAATCAGTCAGCAGTGCCGGGTTCGACTGAGCTCAGAGTACGTGTGACTACGCAATGTCGGCGTGGGGCTGGGGCTGCCCACTGCGTGTGAGGGGATGTGAGGGGGCATCGGCTGCAAGTTGGGTTGCGTCCCACAAACGAGGGCCATTGCAAACGACCTCTATGTTCGTGGCGTTGTGGCTCCTCAGAATGGTTTCAATGCTGGAATCCAGAATTCATTGGCGGCTGCAGAATTGAGTGTTTTCATGTGGTTGCTGCGGAGGCTTGTCTGGGCCAATTCTAGCCACCTGAGGCAAGATTGTTCAACTTTTGTTTAATGGACTTGCGGTTTGTGGTTGTTGCGGCCGCCGGTCAGGCAAAGACATCAACAGCATTTGCGCAACTGAATGTGTAGCTCCGCGTATCCGCTTGACCATCAATTTGGACGTCGCCGTGCAACCTCACTAAAAGTTCCAGAGTTCCAGCATCAACCAATTTGGGACCCCGTTTCATATTAATTACGACACGTGAGGTTGGTTGCACTTGAACAGTGTTTTTTTTTTATTGTTTCGGAGCCACGTGTTTTTGGGTTGCCTTTTTTGAGTCAGTGCGGAGGATTTTGTGTCCGAATGCCAGGCAACGCTTGTTCAAGACAGCATAAGACAGAGTTGCATAAAGCCAGGCGGCATGAAGCTGGGGTTGCCCAGTGCGTGTTGGGGGTTTGCGATATTGGCATGGTCTGCAAGTTGGGTTTAGCTTTCCGTGGAAGGTTTTTTATGCATTCGTTGTTGCACATTTATTTCAGCCGATTGTTTTGTTGTTCAGCTTCTCAAATTTCAAAAGTTGCTTGACAAAATTGGAGCGACAAGTTCGGCTGTGCAAATGTCGTTGACCGCTTAGTAGTTCCGGATTGTTGGATGGCCGCGTGAGCCGCAAACTCCAAACTTTGCCCTGCAGCGGAACAAGTTTTGCGACCATCCGGGGCCACACTGCATTATATCTTGAGTTTCTGTCCGGCCATTCATCATGAAAGCCGCAAGGCGGGTGGGAAATGTCACGTCCGCCTGCATGTTGCCAAGGCCTGGGTTACCCCAGTTCGGAACTCACTTGTCAGTCCGCGGTTGTTGCTTCCCACTGGCCCAATTCTTTCCAGCGCACAAAGTTTTCACGAGAGATTCTCTGCAAAGTGCTCAGAATGCCCGAAATAAGTGGCCCAATGGCTGCCATGCCAGAGCTTGTCTAAATCACTTCGCTGGCGACAGATTTGCAATGCGCGGTGCAGACAAGATTGCCCCCCCAATTCGGCATCACAAGGAGTCCCAAACTAGCACCATTTCGTACACGTTCAGGTGCCATGTCGCGCTCCAGTAAATATCGGATTGGAACCGCGATTCGTCGCGTCGGTCCCAAGAATTCGACATCATGCCAGCGAGTGTTTGTTTCATGAATTGCATCACGAACGATAGGCAACGTATCCTTAGAAGATTGATCCAACAAGGACTGCATCAACAAAAATTGCAAAAGTATATAAAAATCATCCTTTTTCGGCACAACGCAGCATTTGCAGGCCTGGACGCTTCATGGAATTCGCAGCTCTCGCAGCTACCACATGCTAGAAACTCGGCACGCATCCGTTAGGCCTAGGACTTGAAAATCCTTCACATGCTGCAACGTGTGCAATTGCTCGCCTGAACGAAACACCTCAAAGAGAGACAGGTCGGTGAACGCCTCTGGGACAAGAAAAACTAAAGCATGAATTAAGAACGAACTGAACAGAAGAGAGCTAGTATAAAAGAAGAGAAAAAAGAAAAGAGGGGAAGTGACAAAGAAAACCCACACAAAACTAAAACGAAAAAATGTACATACACACACGAACAAGGCCGTTGGTTGGAACGAAACCAGCAAAAAACGACAGGAATCCTGAAGGAAGAGCAAAAAACAGCCTTCGTTCGGCCCAAACGTCCAAATGGCTAAACGCCTAAATCTCTACGCCCCTAAACCTGCAAACCCTGAACTCCAGACTCACACATCTAAACCTTGAGCCCAACCCCCCCATATGTTCCATCCACAACACGGTTGCCCAGGATCGACTATATGCCCGTCCCTTCCTTCTTCACAAAGAAGCTAGGACAGGGAAATGATATAAAATCATTGCACGCCACGCACCCCCCACCCTCACAATGACTTCCAAGCCCTCCTTCTGCAAAAAGGGAGGTGGAGACTAAACCGTGCATTTCCTAGAGAGCTGGACGAGATAGGCGAATGATGGCAGCCTTCCCCCCAACCCCCCAACCCCACTGCACAATCATTTCCCAACCTCTCGATACCCTTCGGCAATTCCAAGCATCCCTGCCTACTTGTGTGAGGACGATTCCGTGCGTGTTGCGTTGTTGTTCGTGAGGCATGTCCCCTTGCAGGCAGATAATTAGGATGTGCGCGAGCTGCTGCTCCAAGAATGCATGAATGTCGTAACACACCACTGGCCGACTCAGGACGGAGTGCAAGGAGTGATTCAGGCTCTTCGTCAACTTGCAGAAGAAATACGAGCATGTCCTTGGAGCAGGCATGGCTGAAAACAAGAGGGCATGTCCACCAAAACACACATACACATCATTCCATGTTGCCTGCATGGTCCTGTGTGCGAGCTCCGAAGCCCCTGTTGCAACCATGTATTGGGGGTGTAAACAATAAAAGGCATCAACTAATTACATGATCGCCGAATATGCAACGGCCGCCAAGTGCTCGGGGTATGTCTCTGGCCATCTCAGCCATCCACCGGACGCATGCGGGTGACGACGGTCCCGCGCGTCTCCGGGCCAGAAAGCTCTTTGCCCTGCTGCCACGGCTTCTCCTCACCCGCAGCCGAAACAATGGTGCTCAGGGCCATGCGCATCCGTGCGCAACTGCTGGGCCGATGAGAATTGTGCCGGCGCGAAGCGTGGCCCAAGCTTCACAGGCAAACCCATCAAGCCGCTGGCCAGTGCGGCTGTGCACGTGTCGACACGTGGGCAGCCCGATCACGAGCTCTTGTACAGCGCGGTGGGCTAACACGAGCGCGCCAGGCTGTGATTGCAGCAGCCTTGGCGCTGGGCAACGAATCCACGTCGCACGCGGCGACCGCCCCTTGCGAGAGATATTTACCACCAGAGGTAGTGGCGCATAGCCAGGACGAGGCGATTAGTTTGACAGTCCGCCAAGTCGCAGACGCTCTGCGCGGCTCCAA